TACATATTGTGTACACTCTTGCCAAGTGCTGCCATGTCATTTGGAACTGATTTAGACTTTTTTTGTTTGTTTCGTATGGGTTGAGGACTGCGGTATATGGATCTGACTTGTTAGAGCGCATCAAGTGGATTGTTGCTAAAATCAATCAAAACCTCAGATTCCTACGTGTTTGTGTTCATGGTGCACTTCTACCACGTGATGATGTTTGGAGATATATAAGTTAAGTATAAGCATATTTAATGGGTACTTTACGTTGTTCACATTACTGCAGCAACACCACTGTGCAGAACAGGAACAACGAGCCATAACAACCACCTTTACATCATGTCACAATTACTGCCAGAACCAACAACAAAAAGACAAGATAAAGGAGTCCAGATTAACACAAAACCCTGTTGCTTTTAAAGGCGACAAATCGTGTTAAATCCACTTTTAATGTTTTGATGTCTTTTAATTCACTTGTAAATTTAAAAAAATCTGCACCGCTATATAGACATAAACACCTTTTTCAAACTAGAATGAACCACTRTTGAAGCTGGAGGGGACAGAGTGTAAAGCCCCTCATTTGAATTTAAAGAGACAGCTTCAAAATGAGTCGATCTGAGACACAGCTCAGAAAAGGGGTGAAAGAGGGGCTTGTGGAGTTACAATAAGACYAATTCAGACTTGTTCCATTTTATTTAGAATGATGCTGAACTGAATGATTTAAATGTAAAAAGAAAGATTTAAAAGTACAATGTATTATTTTTTGTTAATTTTAAAACAATCTGCATCATTACATGTTTTATTCATAGGTTACTTGGTTTCACAGGTTGTTTTTAAGAATATGTTAATTCCTCAGTTTGGAAAAATGCAATGCAATACCAAAAATAAGGATGGAGTTGTGCCACTGTGAGAAACTGTTTTTTTTTTTTTTTGTCATTACTTAAATAACTTTTTTGTTGTTGTTGTTGTTATTGCACATCTGTTTTTCTGCACTGAAACACTGTGCTGTAAATATTATACACAAGAACATTATTGTTGAAAACGACTCAGTTCGACTCAGCTGCACACCCCCTTGGAGTTGTGAGTCCGACGTGCCCGTTTCTAAAACTGCACATTATTTTCTGTTATTGCCTTGTACCATACMTTATTATTTTATTTTATTATTGCTATTGCAGTTCTTAATCTTATTTCTTATATATTGTTTTTAACACAACATTTTTTTATGAAAACCTATATATCTGCTGCTGCTGTTGCACCTGAGTTTCCCCTCTGCAGGACAATAAAGACTGTTCTAATTCTATTCTGTTCTATTATTGGTTTCACTCATGGTGATATACATATTACTTGTATACACAAACATCTTGAGATAACCTTAATCTGTTTTTTACAGCAATGATGTCTATTTATTCACTAAGCTAACTTAAGAACAGCCCAAATGTTGAGAAAAATAAAACGATGAAATTACTGCTGGAAAAGTTCTGCAGCATTTCATTTAAAATCATCCCAATTACAGCTCTTTTTGTTCTCCATATACCCCAGTACTGGACACTTTATTGAGAACAATTCACTTTGTTCTACTTCTCCACACTCACACAAAGAAAGCAGTTAGCCATTTGACAAGTGGCCGTTTCATAATTTCACAACAGGACTCCTGAGAAAATCACTGTTTCTCAGCTTGATCTGATTCTCTGGTCTCTTGTCTCTGACATATACTGTATGTGTGGTTATGAATCAGACATATTACCTTTTGATAAAGATGTTGAAAGATTTATTGAAAATAAATTAGTGGTACAGCCTAATCCCTGGAGACTGCTCCTCCTTTTCTGTAACTCTTATGAACGGGCCTTTCGGTGACGATTCTACCWGGACAAATGTCCTTTTCTCAGCATAAAGCACAACTTGTAGTTCTATTAAATTCACTCCTCAGCCCCTGTCATGCTGCATTAGCTGTGTGAAGGGCAGAGCGACAAGACTGGCTGTCTGAAATTGGTTATCCGGAGTTACTGCAGCGTGCCATTATTACTCTGCATCGTGGGARACAAGTTCACTCTTCTGCATGAAACTCTGGCTGGGTATTATCAGTTTAGTCACACCCAGACTGGGTGATAAAAGTTAAATGTAAGGKGAGACCAGCCCTGAATGTCCCCAGAATTACTGTAGCAAGCCTTGCTAACATTTTTATTTTTAACTGTATGTTTGTAAGAAGAACAAAGGCTCATTCTTTCACAAGATAGCCTTTCAAACAAGGTGCTGGTAATAAAATTAAGTATATCATAAAAAGTTGATTTATTTCAGTAATTCCATTCTAAAAGTTAATTATTTTCATTCATTACACACAGACTGATATATTTAAAATGTTTATTTTTTTTATTTTGATGATTATAACTTACAACCAATGAAAACCACTAATTCAGTATCTCAGAAAATTTGAATATTGTGACACCTGCTGCCACACTCTAATCAGTTAATTACCTCAAAACACCTGAAAAATGTCTTTAAATTGTCTCTCAGTCTAGTTCTGTTGGCTACACAATTATGGGGAAGACATGACTTGACAGTTGTCCAAAAAGACCACCATTGACACCTTGCACAAGGAGGGCAAGACACAACAGATTCCACTGTGTTTTCTGGAGGTCCAAGGTCAACGCAGCCATCTAGCAGGAAGTTTTACAGCACTTCCTGCTTCCTGCTGCTGACCAACTTTCTGGAGATGCAGATTTAATTTTCCAACAAGARTTGGCACCTGCAGATAATGCCAAAGCAACCAGTACCTGGTTTGTGGACCATGGTGTCCCTGTTCTTAATCGGGCAGTAAACTAACCTGATTTTAATCCCATAGAAAATCTATGGGGTATTGTGAAGAGGAAAATGCAATACCCCAGACCCAATCACTGAGAAGAGCTGAGGCTACTATCAGAGCAACCTGGGCTCTCTTAACACCTGGGCAGAGCCACAAACTGATGGACTCCATGCCACGCCACATTGTTGCAGTAATCCAGACAAAAGGAACTCCAAACTAGACATCGTAAAAACTTACTATGTAAAAACAAGTGTGCATTGCCATGTAGCATGTCATTGCAGCATGGCTTTGCCTGCAGCTTGAACCATGACCAAGTTGAAATGTGTTTTTTAATCAAGTACCAGCTTGTGCCTGCGAAGTCAGCAGTTGTTTGTAATGAGGGTAATTGTGTGAGAATATGACAATTAGAAAATTTGTAGTTTTAATGAAATATTTTTTTTATGGTTGGGATCCAACCCTGATCTCCCACATGAAAGCCCATAGTGTTCACCATGAGACTATAGGAGCTGTTGAAGTAGGTACTCCCAGTGTTAGGTTTGTATGTGTGCTGAAAGAGGCCATATTGCCAATGCAATTGTTGACACTAAACTGCAATATATTACAACAATAAAGGAATATTAGGACAATATTATAGTGAAATATCAAAATACAATCATGTTTGTATTGTAAACACTGAACTACTGAGTTTAAATAGTATTAAACTATGGTGAAGTACTGAGTAGATACAGCATGGGGCAGTATTGGACCAATACAAGGCTCCATTGACTCCCATTATTTGATTTTAAACATTAATATTTCAAAAACTATAGGTTGTACAGGCACCAAAAGGCATAGCAATCGTTTGGCACAGGAGCTTTAATGATTTAAATTACAATGGCAGCTCTAGGACAAAGTATGCAGGAGGAGAAGCATGACAAGATGGAGATGACTTGGATGGGAAACGAATCACAATATAATATATACTGATAAGCATTGAGTGCTGTACATGCTCATATTGTCCATGTTATACTTTTCAGTTGACCAAAATTTCTAAAAATCTTATTTTTTTCGTATAGTTTTAAATAATATTTTAATTTTCTAAGATACTGAATTTGGGGTTTTCATTGTCCATTATAATCATCAAAATTAAAATAATAGCATTTGAAATATATCAGTCTATGTGTAATGAATGAATGAATATAGTAAACAAGTTTCACTTTTCGAATGGAATTGCTGAAATAAATCAACTTTTTCATGATATTCTAATTTTACGACGAGCACCTGTGGGTGTCTGTTTATTTGTATGTGCCACAGAATATTCAAGAATGTAGGCTGCTTGGTTTAAGTAATTCTATGTACCCAAAATGTTTTTATTGTGTTTTTCCAACTCATCTTTACATAGAATACCACCAATCTGAACTTTATTTGTTATTTTTGTGTCTTTCTAGGAATCATTTAGGTGCAGTCACTAAATGTTCAAATACTTTTTCTTCCTTTAAGACTTAAAGAATGGCATCATATTCAGAAATCAAAACAAATCAGAAACACAAATTGCCCAAAGCAAAAACAACATTTTTTTGTTTGACAGATTCACAAATTTACTGCTCTGGTTCATTAAAAATGTTAAATTATGTTTTACAAAATCAGTTTTATCATATTGATGATTTATATAAAAGAAACTGGTTTTATAGATGGTACCAAAATTCATTTGCTGTTTTATTTTAATCTTTTTTGTCAGATATTGTCAGAGCTGTCACTTGCCTCCTTCCGCACATCATAAAAACAACTCGCGCAGCGACATCAAATCCAAGACAAAGCCTTAGATTTTCAATTCATTGTCATGTCGTGTTATCCGGCTAGAGAGCAAGACTGACAAAACTTGGCATGTAAGGACGACCTGTCGCACTACAGACCAGGATATTACACCTCGCATGTCAAACTTGTCTAAAGCAACATAGAATATTACTCCTTTGTTTTGTTTTTGTTTTGTTTTTTTGTTTGTTGTTTTCCTTAAAGGCTAAATTAATGTTTTTAAGATGAGCTGTGCACCTATCAGAAAACATGTTCATATGTTGTGTTTTCAGTTTAGATAGAAACATCTGATTAATCTTAAATACAATTTTCAGCATTTTAAACCCAAAACACACTGATAATAAATGTGTTCAGTTCAGGAAGGACACTTTTCAGATCTGACACAAAATCTTTAAAAAGAAATCATCGCTAAATGTTTTCATTTATTTATTTGTTTATTTATTTATTTTGTTTTATTTATAATTTACTTTACTTTAACTTCATAATGAGCTGGTTTAATTAGGACATGTGTGTAGTTCAAAATGTTCTTTGAGATTTTTACTAATGAAAAGTGCGTTACAAATTAAATTCATTAACAATATTATTATGTGCTTGTCAAAATAAAAGCCAAATGTTTTAGTGCAATTTATGTTGCATTCATTTGATTATATAATCCAAAATTATTTGTTTTTGTAATGCTATTTTAATTTTTTTAAATTATTTTTTAATTAGCTGTTCAAAAAAAGTACTAAGCACGATCCTTACATTTTGATTATCCCCACACAATAATCAAAATGTAGGCCCATTTCATGACTATTTTATTTTAAGCATCCTAATAATAAAACACTGTTTTAAGAGAGTATGTGTATAGTTGTGGAGTTTTTATTCCTGTGCAGAGAAACCTGAAAAATCTAGTTAGCCCTTTTCTGAATTAATGAGCGCCTGTAGCTCTGTGCATTACATAAGCTCATCCAGAGAATATCCGTTTTGTCAGTCTCCAAAGAGCTGCATTTATTCATTCCACATAAGGGATGTTTCACTTCCTTAGCGCTCATCTTGCTTTCTTCTTCCTCCTGCATCTCATTCGTGCTTCATATCCCTCTTGTGCCAGCTTCCTGTTGCACTCTATTCCCTGTTTCCACCTCCTAAAATTATTTTTCATGCTTTATATTCTCACCCAACATGTGACTAGTGGCAAACCAACAAAGAAAAATCATGATGTGAAGGAACAGATGAAACAAAAGCAACAAGTTGCACATTGACATAAAATAATAACAATGAATAAACATATTTTCTGTCACACTGCCTCTGGCACTGAACAACATGCCCAAGCTACTCCAATCAGAGTGTGTTGTTTTGGTCATGTGACAGCAGTGTCCTGTGTTCTGTGACAAGCACAGTGAGTAAGAAAGAGGGAGAAAAATGGAGGAAACCTGAGCTATGAAACAGTAAGTGGACAAAACATAAAGAAAGACAAGACACCCTTTTGAAGCAAAGTAAGAAATTTCAAGAGGCAACATTGATGAAAAAATAGGCTTAGCTGTGAAGGGAGGAGCAGGAGAGAGATAAAGCTAAGAGGGTTTGACAAAGACATGAAGCAAGAAAAACAGGAGCGGGCAGAATAAGAAGGGGAGATGGCTCAGACATCGTTTGTGTCGAAACAGGAGCGACTGGTCAACTCGTGGGGCTTTTAATGACTCTCAGGAAAACTTTAATGTGACAAAATACAGGTACAAAATACGCACCTAATGCTTTGTAATTATTTAATGAGAACAAACTAACAGGTCAACATGCTCACTAAGTGCAACTAAATGACAGAAATATGAAAAAAACAGACGACATGGTGGTAGACTCAACCATCCCATGGCAATTTGTAAAAATTCAACCAAGATGATTGTAGGTTATCTCCATTATTCAAGAGCGTGTGTGTGTGTGTGTGTGTGTGCGTGCGCATGTAAGAGAAAATAAAACACTGAAAGGAGAGGAGCAGAATGCAAAGGGTCCTGAGACATCTCTCTGATTAAGAACTTTCAGCTGACAAAGTAATTAAATATGGAGACGCTTCAGAGCTCTTACACACTTTCCCATACACACACGCAAGGTTTAGTACAGCTATCTTTATGYGGACTTTGCACTGACTTGCATTAATTCCTACAGCCTAACCATGACAGCTTACCCTAAACCTAATCTCACAGGTGCATACCTGACCCTAGACTGAACCTAAACTCAATGCACCTTAGTCCTAAACCTAACCTTTAATCCATGAATGGCATTTCGCTCCATTGGGACAAGGCCAAAAATACCAGTTGATCCCCACAAGTAGGGAATACCCGACCGCACACACACTCGTATTCAGCTCTTATTCACATCAACCCTTTATGCTCTGGTTAACTTGGTATAATTTACCAAAAGAGGTCATTTGCTGATGGATAAATCATCATTCATACATTATTGTTCTGTTTTACTGTGGGGTCCCTTCATAAAACACTGCATTGTGCAGTACATATCAGCGTGTTGCCAATACTTTGTTTTTAACTTATATGTTAATCATAGCACCAAGCTGAATCAAAACCCAACTTTGCCAACTGCAAAATCACAAAAACTATGATGGAAATTAACTTAAATAAAAAGTGCAAAATTGGACAAGTTTCCAATCTGGGCATTTTTCGTGTCCAAAACCAAACCATTCGATAGTGGGAGAAACTGATTAAATTTTAAAAAGTGCATATTTAACTCTCCTGACAATTTTCAGACAGAAACGAAGACCTAATTTATAACTTGAGAAGAAACAGTGCACCAGTTATTGCAGCATAACTACCCCATAATTAGTAAAAAAAATAAAGTTATCTTCTTTCCAGAACATGTTGGTGTGAAATATTTGAGTAAGCATCTTCTTGTTAAAAAAAAAAAAAAACTTCACTGCAGAGAATTTCTTAAAAACATTTAGGTTAAACCAGGGCTGTTCAACTAAAGTGCTCCAGGGGGCACAGTTACTGCAGGTCAACAGCTCAGGGGCCGAAAATCCAGTAATTAAAATCATTATGTAAATAAACCAAGTATTACAAAGATTTGTTCCCTTTGAAATTGTTTATTTTGATGTGTTTAATCATGAATCCAGCCTTACATGTTGGAGCCAGATTTTGACCCAGAACCAGAGAAAATTTAAGACAAGGAAATTGGCAAGTCCAGACCTTATTTGGCATTTCCATCACAAATAATTTGACATATTTCTGAAAATATCGTAGAAAATAGAGAAAACTGAATAGGTTGAGAAATATGACCCAAGCAGAACATAAAGCTGTCGACCCAGCACCAGGAGAAATTAAATCCAAACTTTTTGACACTCCTAAAAACAACAAAATGCATTTAATGGCTAAAAAAGTGGATTTTGCATAATATGTCCTCTTTAACATACTTTAGTCAAATTAAAATATATTAAACATGCAAATATATTAAACCAAATACTGTATGTGTTAAAAAATAGCTGACAGTACCATTTTGGAAGATCTCTGTGGAATTTTGAATCAAATATGAACATTTCTGATCACACATAAGTAGGGTCCGTTGGTGGACAGTGTGTTTTCTGCAAAGCTGCAATAACATTATATATTTTAAATAGCAGCAGACACCACCTGTTTTTCTTTCAATAGTTTATGATTTATTTAAAACAGGGACAGTACACATTGATTACAAAGGGAAAGATGCACAGGTTATAGCTTTAGGTGCCAATTTCCACCTGTAGTCCCGGACTCAGCTTATAATATATTTTAAAATAAATAAAAACAAATAGCTGGATGCTATTCAGTCTATATATAACAAAATTAAACACACAGTGAACCCTAGTTAAATTTCTCATGACCAAATGGGGGTTTAGGATTATTACCACCAGGAATCCTCCCAAAAGCAAATAGACGTTCTTTTGGGCAATAATTTTACTACTTCACACATGCACACACACACATGCACACATACACACACACAGCCTCTCACCTCCACAAAGATGAAACACGGGATTATGGAGTAGCTGCGTAAGGTGTTGTTGGTCGCCATCTTGTCTCCTGTTGGAAGGCGTGTGCTCTCAGGATTCACAGCAGCTCACTCTACAATGGCATAAAAAAACATCAGTTGTCAGCATCTAAATATAAACAGTCACCCATAGAATTTATATGTAGAATATACTGTTTTTCAGACACCTTAATGGTGTTAGAAAATGATGAAAAGGAATCTTGGTATGGATAAAGCAACTACAACTACAAGATCTACTATAACTACAAATTATTATGACCCCCACATGCAAACTGCTGCTATGCAATATCTAGTTTATTTTATTTTTTATTTATTTTTTTCAAAGATACAGTATTTGGTCAATCACAACATGGAAACAGCTGCCGATCAATGTGAAAATTGGCAGGAATGTAAATGTGTATGACCTACACTGCACCAGCCAACAGTTTTACGATAGACCCCATATTTGTTCAGGAATTGCGGAATGTGTTCCGGAATTGCGCCGCTGAGGGTGGCAGCACGTTGGAGTAGCTCTGTTACTTTTATTGAGGTTTTCTTTTCTTTTCAGGCGTTCATTCCTGCCTTTCTGCGGAAAAAGTAACTTTTTTGGACGGCTGTTCATTTGTGTTTTGGGTGCTGTGCAGCTGGATTGGTTTTTGCCAATACTTTTTTTATACTTTGCTTTTTGTTATGATGCGTAACCATAGTAACAGGGTGGTTTACAACAGGGAGCAGCTGATTAATTTTGCAAAATCTGAAATAATACATCAACTGAAGCCGCAAATCCCAGAGGAATTGAAAAGGAGGCATCGTGGATGCAGAGCTGGAGCAAAGAGGCGAGAGAGAAGGAGGAAGTTCAAACCATCACTTCCATCAATCCTAATGGGCAACGTGAGATCATTAGCTAACAAACTGGATGAACTTCAAGCCCTGACAAGGACTCAGCAAGAGTATAGGGGATGCAGTATTATGTGTTTCACTGAGAAATGGCCGCAGGATCATGTCCCTGATGCCAACATCTCTCTGCCAGGCTTCCAGACTATACGAGCAGACAGAGATTTAAAGAGCAGCAGGAAAAAGAAAGGAGGTGGATTAGCAGTGCTTGTCAACAACATAAGGTGTCATCCAGGACATGTTACTGTGAAGTTTCGTCACTGCAGTCCAGACATTGAACTCTTGGCATTAAGTTTTCATCCATATTATTTACCAAGAGAGTTCACCACTGTTATTTTGGCAGCTGTTTACATTCCACCCTGAGCTGTTGCTGACAATGGCTGTGTCCAAAATGGCAGGCCAGGTCCTCCGAAGGCCGAATTCGTCGGCCGCATGTGTCACTGCACCGTGACGAAGGCTGTCCAAAACCAAAGACTCCTCCGATGCGGCCGACAAATACGTGCTTCCTTTTCCCCGATTTGAAGGACAGGTCTGATGGATCCTTCCCGGCCCAGCATATCCCATAATGCTTTGCGGCCCGACAGGAGATTTTTTTAAGCTAGTAATGGCGGACGAAGCGAGAGAAAAGAATATGTTTTAAATAAAAAATATGGCAATTTAAAAATGAAATTTTTTTAGTGGTTGTAATTCTAATACTTTTATCATTTGTTTAGACATGTTTTTAAATATTATTTTTGTCATTATAAAAAACGTGACATAAACATGCACCTACAGCGGGTCAATTAGTTCTTCAAATGCTACCTTTAAGTTAATTTTATAGTTTTGTGATATTAATAATGCTAATATATTGADATTTTTCTAGTTTTGATTTAAGTTTGCTTGTTTAGCGTCGTCACAGTTGCTAGGTGACATGACGTAAGGACAGGACGCTAGACCGTCCAAATTCACAGCCTCTTTTTTTCCGGTCTTCCCGGTCTACCAAGGACCCGGCCCACCTCGATCGGGTAGGCTGGGTCCTCCGGAGGACCCGGCCTGTCGTTTTGGACACAGCCAATGCATGTGATATCGTCAGTTCCATTGTTGCTAAGATAAAGACACAACACCCCAATGCATTTGTGGCAATGTCTGGTGATTTTAATCATGCCTCACTCTCTGCTACACTGCCAACATTTCAACAGTTTATCAGCTGCTCTACCAGAGAAAACGAGACATTGGATTTGTTTTACACAAATTTTAAGGATTCTTATATAGCCAATGCAAGACCTCCTCTGGGTAATTCAGATCACAACCTTGTTTATCTCTGCTCAGAATATAAACCACTTGTTCAGAGACAACCTGTAACTACAAGGACTGTGAGAAAGTGGTCATAGGAAGCTGAAGAAGCCCTACAGGGATGTTTTGAAGCTACAGATTGGATTGTTGTTTGCCAGCCACATGGAGATGACATAAATGCCATGARTGAGTGTGTGACTGACTATATAAACTWCTGTGTGGACAACACCATCCCCAGCAGAACAGTGAGATGCTTCCCTAATAACAAACTCTGGATCACCAGTGAGCTAAAGGAACTTTTAAACAAGAAAAAAAGAGCCTTTAGGAATCTAGACAGGGAGTTATTGAGGAGTATACAGAAGCAGCTCAAABTCAAGATCAGAGACAGCAAGGAGGTTTATAGAAGGAAGCTGGAGAGTAAACTGAAAAGGAACAATATCAGAGATGTGTGGTCAGGGATGAAGAAGATCACAGGTTTCAAGCAAAAGGAGAATCGGATGGATGGAAGTCTGGACAGAGCAAATGAGCTGAACACATTCTTCAACAGGTTCAGCTCAGGAACAAGCTCATCTTCCTCCTCTCCTGCCCCCAGCCAAAAAGACATCTCACCCTCCTTTGACCCACAGCTTTCCTGTCAAGCCTCAGATGTTTTATCTTCAACCTCAGTCATGGASTTCTCTTCTACATCCACAAGATTGTCTTCAACTAAATTAGGAGATGCTGCTGCTCCCTTTCCCACCCCCTCCCACTTTTCTGTATCTAGAAGTCAGGTGAAGAGGCAGCTAGAGAGACTGAACCAGAACAAGGCTGCAGGTCCAGATGGTGTTAGTCCCAGAGTCCTGAAGGCCTGTGCAGACCAGCTCTGCGGGATTCTGCAACACCTCTTCAAGCTTAGCTTGACCCAGGAGACGGTGCGAGTGTTGTGGAAGACATCCTGTCTGGTTCCAGTACCAAAGAATACTCACCCATCAGCACTCAATGACTATAGACCTGTTGCCCTGACATCCCACATCATGAAGGTCCTAGAGAGACTCCTGTTGACCCACCTGAGTAAGCAAACAAGCACACATCAGGACCCTCTGCAGTTTGCTTATCGTCGTGGAGTTGGAGTTTATGAAGCCATCATACACCTGCTTCAACAAACCCACTGTCATCTGGACAAAGCAGGCAGCACTGTGAGGATCATGTTCTTGATTTCTAKAGTGCTTTTAACTCAATTCAGCCTGAGTTGCTTTGTCTGAAACTCCAGAAGACTCCGGTGGAGGCCTCAACYATCYCDTGGATCAAAGACTACCTGACAAACAGACCACAGTTTGTGATACTGAATGACTGTGTGTCTAACCATGTGGTCAGCAGCACAGGAGCACCACAGGGAACTGTACTCTCACCATTCCTCTTCACACTGTACACTTCAGATTTCCAGCACAAGTCAGACTGCTGTCATCTACAGAAATACTCAGATGACTCTGCAGTTGTTGGGTGTATCAGAGATGGACAGGAAGCTGAATACAGAGAGCTGGTGGACCGCTTTGTGACATGGTGTGGGAACAATCATCTCATCTTGAATGTGAACAAAACAAAGGAGATGATTGTAGATTTCAGGAGAAATAGTGCTAGATCAAACCCTGTTTCCATCATGGGAAAWGTGGAGGTGGTTGAGGAATATAAATACCTCAGTGTTCATCTGGACAACAGACTGGACTGGAGACTCAACAGTGAAGCAGTCTACAAGAAAGGACAGAGCAGACTGTACTACTTAAGGAAGCTGAGATCCTTCAGTATCTGCAGCAAGATGCTACAGATCTTCTACAAGTCTGTTGTTGAGTGTGTCATCCCTTCTGCCATCATTTGTTGGGGTAGCAGCATCAGAGCCAGGGACCTAAAAAGGCTAAACAACCTGATAAAGAAGGCTGGTTCTGTTCTGGGGACGACTGTGGAATCTCTGGAGATGATGGTGCAAAGAAGGATTTTACATAAAATCAAGAACATTGAGGACAACCCTGACCATCCTCTTCATCAGACTGTCATAGAAAGACAAAGTGTCTTCAGTCGGAGGCTTCTTCAACTTCGCTGTAATACAGACCGCTACAGAAGATCTTTCCTGCCCACAGCCATCAGCATCTACAATAAGTTTTTAGTTAAATGAGTTACAACAACACCTAATTTCCCTCTGGGATCAATAAAGTATTTTTAAATTGAATTGAATTGAATATTTGAGGAGGGAGCTCCATTTGAAAAGGGGGTGTCTGGACATACAACAATGCTTATAACTTAAAAACTACTCAACATAAGAGCTTCAGATTTTCTTTATATCTCTGATGAAGAGTTATCCATCAGGCCCACCAATGAGCCCCCACCCCACCCCCCTGGACCCCCACCCAAAAACAATAAATCTGTTCTGGTGACTTCTAAATTCTGCTGCATTTGTGCTTTGCATACGTGCAAGGGTCATATATACTACCTTTATGCAGTATCTAGTTTAGTTTCAAATATTTGACATTTCATTGGATTTTTTTTTTACTCCAAACAAAAAATAATCATCTGCACTGAGAGGGACACATTTTTGTGTGTCTGAAAAATAAGTTGTTTTTCAAAATCACATTCTGAAGAAAATCTATTTATCAAAAACAGTGCATTGAGAAATGTGTTTGAGGCTTTCAGACGTTCAGTGTAGTGGAACACAGAAAGAACCCTGGAGTTATTTGGCTGAGCAAGAGGAAAGATTAAGATGTAAGTGAAATCATGAATAGTAACCATTAGCACACATCTGCATTGAATCAGTTTTTTTTTTTTTTTTTTTTTTTTGCTCTTAAAAAAAACATAAAATAAGCAGTATCACTCAGATATGATGTTAATATTATTTTTCTCAACCTTTTTTTTCTGAAGTTTTTGAAACCTTCTTGCAACATAGCAAGTCATGATGTAACAAATACCAGAATAAAAAAAGTCAGGTACAAAAACTATTTTTTAATTCAAGATGCCTTAATGGTTCCAGTTCTGTGGGTAGATTTTATCATGTAAAAGCTTGTGCTTGTGTAACTTTGTTTTAATGCATTTAAATATAAAAAAAAGAATCCCAGATTAACAACACAAGCTCAGTAGTGAAAAACATACAGAGAAGAGAACTTGCTTCATTTGCAGCTCATAACAGAGTCTGATCTGGCATATTTTGTCTTTTATCTAATATTATTTTACATCATTGGTAGTAAATTAATGTAATGTCTGTAGAAAGTTACAGTTACAAGGTTTCAAACATGTTGAAAAAATGCCATAAACGTCAGTAGTGATTTTTGATTTATGTGTTTTAATCAAAGCTCTGCCCCCCTGCAGGTATTAAATTATTATGAATGTCTTAGGCTGCTATAACTGCCTTTCATTCCCCATTAGGGAATAAAATTCATAATTTGAGTGTCTGTCTTGTGCGCAGTGCTGAATAATGATGAATAATGAAAGCTGTAAAAGTAGAATAAAGTACCCCATCAATCTAATTGGAACCTTTTTGCCACTAAATTTAAAAAATGCACACTTTAAAAACCAAAAATATGGCTAAACAATCATGAGTCCAACAGTTATTTTTATTCTAATGCACACAAGAAGTGTTTCATAGCAGCTGTTGCTGGTATGAAATAGAGGGAAACTGTAACACAGCCTTTGTGTGTGTGTGTGTGTGTGTGTGTGTGTGTGTGTGTGTGTGTGTGTG